GGCCTCCCGGGGGCCCCGTCCGCGCCGCCCGCAGACCTGCCTCCCGGCTCGGCTCAGCCCGGCCCTGGCACGGGAGGGGGTTGCTCTCCCGCCGCCGCCGCTCGGCCCCTCCGGTCTCGTGCAGGCCGGGGCGGAGCACGGGGCGCGCCTGCCGCGCGGGCTTGGGTCTTTCTGGACTTGTGATTGTCCCGGGAGAGGTCCGAGGCGCCGGGGGGAGGGAAGCGCCCGGTAGGAAGCAAGCCCCAAAGGAGCCCCTTTCACGCCCCCTTCCCTACCGCCCTCCCCCCCACAACGGGGAGCTCCCTCCGCTCAGGAGTGCCCGGTGCCCCTTACCTCGGGCACCCAGCCCGGCTCCCCACGCGGCGCTGCCCCGCGCCTCAGCATCCCCGCGCTCCGGAGCCCTCATCTGCGGAGCGCGGGAGCTGGTGCCGCGCCATCGCGTGTCACCGCGTTGTGAATGGAGCTCAGTGTGGAGGCGAATCCGCTGTGAAAGAGCCGCCTCTGCCGGTCGCTGCGGCGCGGAGCCGCGTCCCGCTGCTGCCTCACTGCATTGGAATGTCTGAGCTAACCGTGCTGCTCGCCGCTCCGGCCCGGGAAGCGCTGCGCTGCCCAGACCTTGTGCACATTTTAATTCACTTCCAAGCCTTGCCAACAGTTGCACACAAGGTGCCTTTTTTACACCCTGCTCTCTCTGTCCAGTGAAAAATGCGGGCTATCTCAGTGGAAACAATGGCTCGATTCAGGACTTTGTTCAGAAGTGCAGCACACAACCTCTGCACTGTGCATGGCTGCCAACCATTATCTATGGGAAGAAAGACTGTTAACGAAAGTCTGTGAAAGGGGGGGAAATATTGTACGCTTTCCATCTACTTTATGGAAAAATACAATTTCAGTGAACCCAGCCCTGTGTCTTTGCATGCAAGGCTTCACAGTCTCTTCTGTATGAAGTCAAACAAAGAGAAAAACAGGATCATAAAAATAATTTTTGTTGGAACTTTCGTTTTAATTTTTCAAAGAAGCAAATGTTGGCTGTAGGCAACATGCAATTTTATTTTGGAATTTTTTATATGAAGAACACCAATTCTCATAACTAAGGTATGTGGAGTTCATGTCCAGTACTTGGTTGTAAAACTAGCAGTTAATTTACTTCATTCCCTTCCAACCTAGGGAACTCATCATAACATTTTCTAAGGAAAAAAAATCTGCACTCCTGAGAGTCAGAGTTATTATTATATATCTATAGCTATAGATTCATGACATCTGTTATACACAGTTACTTAAAAAAAATAGAGTATAACAGAGGTAAATATTTTGTATTTGGATCTATAATGAAGTATAACAGAAAATAATCAAAGTGTAATAAGATTTTTAAGAGGGTTATTAAAATATTTTTAAAATGAATAAAAGTAGTTGTCTAGCAAAGAAAAGCTTAAGAAGATATATATTTTTTAAAAAGCATAGCTTGATTATTTTATACTACTGCAACCAGACATTTGTAATACAGTACTCAGTTAACACTGTGTTGCAGATACATAATATTGACTATTTTACTTGATACTTCCAACAGATTAAAGTGTATGATTATCACCTTAGAGATAGAGAGTAGAAAAAGATAAAATAATGCAAGCCACAAAAGACCATCTCATCTTTCCTAATAGTATAAGGTCAAAGCATGTTATATTTAGAGGAGCGATTCTCAACCAGGGTGCTACAGCACCCTTGGGAGCCATAAGATCTTCTAAAGGTGCCATGGGTTGCCATGCATTATTAGTTGTGCAAACAGCTATGCATGATTCACAAGATAAATCCAGAGTTTTCAAATAGGAATCCAATGGTGTCAAAAACATTATGACTTCTTGTGGTCTTTCTGAGCTCTTTGCAACTCAGAGTTCATGTACTGCATATGGTAAGAATAATACCATATCAACCTACAATGCAATAGGTAACATCTAAATATTAAAGTTATTCTTGTTCCTGTTCTCATCATTTCTGTGCTCAAAATGTATTAATATCACACATATACTGTTTCAATACTGTGTTGCATGTGGAATGCAAGTATATTCATATTTGCAGCTGTACTAATAGTGTGTATAATTGAAACTAATAAGAAAACTGTGCAATTTACATTTAAAATACATTTTATTAGAGGAGGAATGATAGCTGCTTCAAAAATACTAAAGCAACAGTGGGTTGACATTATACTGTACAGGTAATAACAGCCGCTCTATGAAACGACTTTCCACGGTGCCTTTCTAGTTTTTCAGGTGTTTCAGTAAATGCAGGAAAAATTATCACATTATTCCACTGAAAAAATATACTTGCTATTATCTCTTGCATCATGTTAGCTCTTGATGTTGAATAACTTGACAAAAGCATAATAATATGATGTATATCATACTGAAAAGCAATATTAGGTGATACATTTAAGAAAATGGAAATGTGGGGCCAGTCAACTACTGCTTGATTCAGCAAGCCATTAGGCCTGTGTCTGGTTTTAAGTATATAAAATATCTGTGAAGTTGCTTCAAAGTTTAAAGTTAAGCATGTGCTTAAAAACTTTGTTGATTGGAAACATGATATTTCTTGGACCTATCTCTTCATCTGTAATTGAGGCTAATAAAATGTCAATGTTTCACAGGAACATTGTGGGGATGAATTAATGAATATTTATGAGGTTCTTAGATGCAATGACAATTGGGGACACAAAAGTACCTTAATAAATGGAAAATTGCTAACATAGTGGCATTCCTATGTCAGACTCCATGGTAATATGCACACTACACTATAAACACAAGAGATTAAGTATATCCACTGGGTTGGGACACATTCTCCTCACTATTTAACTTCCCTGAAGTTGTAGAACTATTGAATCCTGAGTCCCCCTTGTCCTTTCCCCAAACTGCTTTTATGTGTCTGTTAGCTCAAAAATAAGGTTTCTGAAATGTGTTACAAATTAAAAATATATAGTAATATACAAGAATAACATACATATGTCTACAAATTAAGTTCTTGTATGTAACTCCATGTTCATTTATGCTTTTCACATCCTTTTTCTTTAGGGGAAAAAATAGCTTGGAGGCTGTGTCAAGAAAAAGACAAATTTTGCAGTGAAAGCACAAATAAAAGTATATATGGCCTTCTGAACTGCACAAGCTGTTTCAGGCTGATTTATCCAAGAAAAGGTTCTTTATAAATATAATCATCAGCTTCTTGGTGGCAAGTTATAAATGTGCCTAGAGAGAAGAATGTGCTCAAAAGATCCGTTTAACAACAACACAGCATCACTTGCAGTTTTTCAGGATGGCTTCTTCCTCTACCAGTTGGTTATATAGTCCTGTGAATTTTTCCAATGTATGACAGGAATAATTCCCCTCCACAACATCCACTGGGGAAACCTCACTCTGTATTTAATCCCTTATCATCCAGATTAGGAAAAAGGTTTTGATCAGCTAGGACAGGGGTTCCCAAACTGTGGTACATGTACCCCTGGGGGTATGCAAGACATCTTTGGGGAGTTTGTGGGAGAATTATGTAATGGCAGATTTAATTTTCATTATAATAATAATTGGCATTTAAGGGGTTGAAATATGAACTCCATGTTTGTGGGGGTATGCGGGCAGGTGGTAAATTTGGAAGTGGGTACACAACAAGAAAACGTTTGGGAACCTCTGAACTAAGAGATCTGGGAAACTTGCCTCTCCAGCCTCTTTCTAAGAGTGATCTGTTACTAGGAACGGGAGCACTGTGCAATTACTCATTTCCTTCAGCAGCTCTAATTCCTCTACTCCTGGTGCTGGATTTCTTTGGTAAGTTTTGAAAAAAAGTATGTTAGGCTGCCTGAGCTCTTTTTTTCTGGTTGACAGCTTCTAATCCAGCATTATGCAGCTGTGAAAACTATTTTCTGCTGGACTGAGCTCATAGATCACCATTTTTAAATACAATTTTTCTGCCATGTAAATCCATGGAATCCCTCACAGAACTGAAGATATTTCAGTTTTATCTTCTTTAAACCTCACCTCACAGGCACTGTTTCATGGGTGAACTAAAAGTGACAAACTTTAGGACTGCCAGCTCAATGTTCCATGCTGTAAGAGGCCCAAGGATGTAGAAAGATTAAACTCAGGTTTACCATATGAAAAATGCTAGCAGCATATAGCAAAACATAATAAACTGCAAACTCAAATTTACTGTACTCTTGCAGTTTTATGAATTTTAGATATTATATATAGTACTAATAGGAACATTTTTAGATAAATGTGACTTTTATGTCAACAATGTTACTTTGGCTTGTTGCAGTTATAATCGTCCAAGTAAGCACATCAACATTGATGTGATATATATTAATTAATTAAGTCCCACAATACCCTTACAATGTGGATAGTTATTCCCATTACACAGGTGGGAAAATTAAGGCAAAGTGAGTTTACATTAATGTTTTTTTCAATATCGGGGGGGAAATAAGTAAAGAAATTGGATTAGAATGTGGGAGCTCCTGACTTTGAGTCCTGTGCCTTTCTAAATTACCCATCACTTGTCTAAAATGTTCAGCTTGAAGTATAAAGAAAGATATTTAAGATTTGTTTTTCAATATGACATTTTTATAACAATATTTTCAAACAATTTAACTTTTTTAATGAATTAAAAACTCATTTTTTTACATTCCTATCTTTCAAAAACACTGTAGGTGATTTTCTTTATTCAGGCTTTCCTCCAAAATTCATCCTTTGGCTAAGACTAAACATGAACATGACAATTTTTTAATAAAATTAAAAGCATATGAAAAAATGTCTTAGATAATGTGTTCTCTATTTCAGCTATAGTATTACTGCAGGGAAGAGCTTCTGGGCAGGAAATCTCAGTGACAATTTCCTTGTGGGACTTCTACCACATCATCCTGAAAAGGATGTAGGATCTGTTGACAACCCTTGCAGATTCCTGCAGAATCCCACAAACAGATTATGTTTAACTGCTAAGAGTAATCAACAACAATGTACTCCAGTCCAATCAATACAATAATTAATTTACTAAGAATAACAAGAATTTAGAGAAACCAAAGACGGAGATTTCAGGGGCTGTTGTATTTTGGAGTTATGTCTATTTCTCTGACTTCAACTCTAGTAAGACCCTTATCAAAGATGCTGTCTTCAGATGCCCTATGTGCTATAGAGACATTGGATTTAGAACATTAAATACCTCTTTGAAAACAATCATATAGAATCACAGAAAAGTAAGGCTGGAAGGGACCTTCAGAGGACATCTAGTCCAACCCCTTGTTTGAGCTCCAATTTTTATGGACTTTACAGACAGGTACAGACCCTTTTTATGCACTGCCCATAAATTTATGGATAGTTGGCAACTCTGAGAGAAGCAGAACAACAGTGCTCTATACTCTGTGCTGGTTGCTTGTTTGTTTCTCAAGATGTTGATTCTGTAGATTATAAAGCAAATACTAAACTAAATGCGCAGTTACAACTGTGCATTAATGAACATGTAGACGAACACAGGATAGTACTTATAGATTTTTTTCAGTGCTGTGTGTTGAAGAACATGCCTGTATATGATACATGGCAGCTCAAAGCTAAGACTATTCTCTAATAAGTTTCTAAAGTTCTAAATGAATCAGTAAGTCAAGATTTAGCAAAATGTTAAATGGTGAGTAAATAGGAATGGCATTACCTGTAAACTTTTTTCATTCTGATTTACTGTTGACAATGCAAACTAATTGTACTAAGAGCTGAACTACCTATTATAAAAGGTGTGCCCAAATGTAATTACTCTTGGCAATACAAATTAATTTTACTAGCAGTATACAAATGAACATGTACAGCTGTAAACCTGCTGTTAGACATATGCTTATCCTACAAACTATGTACACTACATTTGTTACTGTCATTGGGAAGCTGTACCATGGCACAATATGAGAACATCTCCCACCTACCTCATAGTAAAGTACTATACTACCAGCAATAAAATTTAAAAGGAATTATGTCACCAGGTAAAAGAAGAATGGAGGGACATTAACAATGTAAAAATGATAGGTGACCCATAAA